GAGTCTCTCTCTTCGAAGAATGTCACCCAAAGTTCCTCTGTCAGGTTGGGGGCATCCCTCTTCAGCCTATATGCACAGAATGTCTGGCAGACTTTCTGATGAAGTAGGAACATGAAGGATCATCCTCTTCCTTGGCAACTTCTGCAGTCACTCTTCTTTGTAACATGCTAGTTCAGTTTGGACAGCATGCTATCAAGCTGTCAAGGAAAGGGAAGTTTCTTGTCCAAATGGCTAGTCCTGCCAGGTCAAAGGCAAAAATCCATAACAAGTTTCTCTGATGCCCATCTTCCTCTCCGACCTAACCTCCTTACTTCATAAGATGATCATATTTCTAGATGACCAATTACCATCTCTTCAAGTTAATGTCTATAATCAGTTGTTTCTTTTAAAGGAAAAGTATGAAAAAGAAGAAAAAACTTAGCAATTATTGGCAGCTCTTGTAAACAATAAGGCCAAAATGGGCAAAAAAAAAAAAAAAAGGTAAAAAGGTTACCAATGAGGATTTCATTAAAAGCTATCAATGCTAGGCTTAGAATGTGGATTGCTCAGCCATCACAACAACCTGGCTCTATCGCTATAATCCCCATTTCTGGCAAAAAGACTGATTTGGCACACTGTTTACATAGTTTAACTATCAGCATAAAAAACCACAATGTTGAAAGAACAGCATACCATATATTTATATGCCACCTGCTGTAATGTTTACATTTATCACAGGTGAAACAGCACAACTCCTTTCTAGGAAGCTGTAACTATGGTTAGCTGCTCAGTTTACAAGGCTATTTACAAGTAATTTCTAAAAGGCTACTAATGTTATTACTTAGATCCAGATAATTATCTATAATGAAAGTACAAGATTTAAACCAGGAGAACATGGTCCCATCATTCTGAATGTTTTCCAGGAAAACATTCTATGTTGTTTAACTACAGTCATCTAATTAGAAAACATTTAAACTTTGGCAATTGGGGACTGCCCAAGTCATCTGTGTCTCTCCTAATCTTGAAGTAGGCAACTTAAAATTAATCACTGGTTGGAAAAAAACAGACTTTATAACTACTATAATAAAATTATATTAGGAATAGTAATATCACTTCCAAAAACAGAAATAAAAATCTAAATAATAAAAAGAGAAAAAAATATCTTACTACAGTATTCTGAGGAAAAGGTAAGGGGACTCACTATAGCAGCGATTCACGACTGCAGTCATCAAACTCTTGTTTCATGACATAACACAAAAAACCTGAATTACCCTATAGTCTACTATATAATCTCCTAAAATAACTTACGAAAATAAAAATAATACATATAATAAACCTAACATGCAACTATTCTCAACATACAACTTGATTCTACCAAAACACACTCTAAATAATCACCTGATTAAATACATGCATACTTTTACTTGTAATGTTTTATCTACAAGCACTCACATGGAAACTTAAAGAATAAACTTTTTTTTTTTTTTAGCTAAAAAGCTACTACTAAAACTTAATTTGTACTTAAAAAAAAAAAAAAAAAAAAACAACCAAACGGTACATATTCACTAAGGCTACCCTGCTCTATTAAAGACCAGGCCAAAAAGAACTATGTTCCAATAGGAACTCTGGGAAGAGCAAAACTGAAAGAAAGGCTATATCTAGCTTGCTCTCCATTGTAGGGAGCAATGGAACAGCAGGGGTGGGAGGGGGGACACAGTAATAAAAACAGCAGTAATAAACTTATTGATAAAACTTTTAGACAGCAGTAGTAGGAAATTTGGTGAATCAACTTAAGATAATTCCTTATTACTATATAGGGCTTTATTAGCTCAGTGGATTCCCTGGCCACCTATGACTTCTCTTACACTTTGCTGATTTTAAAGATTTGTTTTAATTAACATTCCAGCAAACAGCCTCTTCTTAAGTCTTCATTTAAACCCAGTATATCTAGTGTCTCTTAGAACTAGTCTGCAGTAAGGTCTTGTCCTAATGATGACAACCTTTATTAATATTTATACCATACCGAAATTCTCATATCTGAAGTCAATTTTCAATGTAATTTTTCATATTGGCAAGAATAATTAAGAAATCAAAAATTTTAGAAAGAGGTACTTTTGGCACATTGCTAAGTAAAATATTTAGCTGGTCCCACGGTTTCAAATGTGATTCCAGCAGCTCAGAAGCAGAGGCAAGAGTATTACAAACAGGACAGACTTGTCTACATGTGAAGTTCAAGGCTAGCTTTGCCCTGTCTCATAATAAAAAATAGCCATATTATGAAAATTACCCCTAGCTAATTCTGAAACTCTGAGATATCTTTAGTGGATAAACATGGGATTCATAACTAGTGAGACAGACCACAACTTAAAATATATTTTGATGACTTCAGATTTCCAATTCATATTTCTCCAAGCTAATTCTATAGTCATTTTTTTTAAAAAACAGGAAAAGAATGAAAAAGAAAACATTTAACAATCATTGGCAGCTTTTGTTAAAGATAGGGTGAACAATGGGTTAAAAAGATAAAAACAAAACAACATAAAAGAGAGGTAAAACAGCGACCAATGAAGATTACACTAAAGACAATTCATGGTCTAGGCTTGAACTGCAGCTTTCTCAGCAGGTACAAGGTCCTGCATCTATGCCGAAGATCCCCATCTCTGCCAAAACTACTGATTTAGCACACTATTCACAGAGTTTAACCAAACACATAAAAAAACACAATGGATACTTAATTGAAAGACCACCATAGCATACATTTATGTGTCCCAGGCTGAAATATTTACATTTATGAAAGATGAAACAATATACCTCCTTTTTAGAGGGCTGGAAAGGTTATGGATGAGTAGATGCTCTATTTATAAGGCTATTTACAAGAAATTCCTAAAAGGCTACTCAAATGATTACTTAAGCCAAGAAAATTATCTATAAAGAAACTAGAGGATTTAAGCCAGGAGAATGCAGTCACATCATTCTGAATGTTTTCAGGGAAAACATTCTATATCGTTTAACTGAAGTCATCTAATTACAAAACATTTACAGTTTGACACTAGGGTACTAACCAAGTCATCTGTGCCTTTCCTTATCTTGGAGTAGGCAGCATAAATTTGCTCACTGTGTGAAAAAAAAAAGACTTTATAGATACTACAATAAAATTACATTAGGAATAGCAACATCACTTTTATAAACACAGAAATAAAAATCTCTAACAAAAAAGTACAAAATGTCCTTACTTCAGTATTCTGAGGAAAAGGTAAGGGGATTCACTATAGCAGCGATTCAAAACTGCAGTCATCAAACTCCTGTTTCATGACATAACACAAACACACTAAACCTGAATTGCCCTATAGTCTACTAACATAATCTAATAAAATAAAGAAACCTAACATACAAATATTCTCAGCATAAAACTGGATTCTAACAAAGCACCCTTTAAAGGCACACTTTCCAACCTAATGCAATCTGAAACTACCTTAATTACTTACCAAACAGCCTTGATGTTATTACAGGTTGGTTATGTAATCATCAGTAATGAGAGTTAAATATTTATTTTCTAATGCCAAATTACATTTTTATATTATTTTTATTCCATAATCAATTAGTGTAATTTGTTAATCTTCAATGCCAATAGTTTGTGCTACTAATTTTCTCCTACACTTTAAGGAGACAGCATTTTAATATTTTCATTCTCGTTTTATGAATACTACTTTCTTAATGATCAATGGTTAAACCAACTTTATTAACTATTCTATTGTGAAAGGATATAATGAGATACCTAAGCTTTACAATCAAATTCAAGCTCAATTTTCTTTTATAATCGTCTTTGATTCCTTTATTTTTTTTCTACACCCACTGCTGTTAACCATGAAGAACATTCTGCATTCCCTGTGCAGCATCACTGGTTTCATCTTCTGAGTCAGACTCAATCTGGGATGTGGAGCTGTGTGACGAAGAGTTCCTGGGGGAAGAGCATTCTGGAGAACACAAATAATGCACCAGCGGGACGTCATACCTCCCACAGAAGTCCACAGTCACAATTTATCTGGCAAAGCAGTCAAAATACACTCTCCTATATTTGCGCTTCTGCAATTGCTGGCTGCACCCAAGTATCTTAACAGATTCCCAGGAAGATAAGAGTGAGTGTCAGAAATATTTCTGGATCTCAATGGTCTTTGCAAGTAATTTCAGAAGAGTTGGAGGCCATATGTTAAATCACTAACCATACACACAAACAATGGATTTCCTCGGAAACTCAGTTCTTCCAAATGAATAGTGTTGAGGATCTCTGGGGGCAGGTATGTCAGCAAGTTACTGAAGAGAGCTGGGAAAACCATGCAACTGCGAAAGCTGAGAAAACGCAGTAGAATTTTGTTGTCGCATTAACACCAAGCAATTGAGAGAAGGTAGATTTGCTAATTCTGGTGGGATTCGTTTACTGAAGTTTCCTCAAAGGAATAAGCATTCTAAATTCTGAGACTTCTCCATCTCACCGGGGATACTCTGGAATCAGTTGCACCCCAGGTTAAGGGTCTGTAGGGCTCCCCCTCCAAAAGCTGCCTAGGCCCCTCCTGGAAGCAATTGTCTGTGAGGCTGAGTACCTGGAGTCTGAGGCAGAGCTGTGACTGGGTCAGTTCCTCCAGCAGCATGCCTGTGTTGTCGAGCCTGTTGTTCCTGTCCATCAGCATGTCCAGTCGGCTCTGCCACAGCAGCTCTGTTCCCAGCGCCATGGGCGGATCCCTGCTCATGTCGGGTAGCTGGAGGTGGGGGTTAGCGGCTTCTCTGCGTCCTGGAAACATTGTCAGATGGTTGTAGGGCAGCAGCAGCCAAAGCAGCGCCACCTGAGAGCCCAGCAGCTCCTCGGTGCTCCCCTCTAGCTTCAGAGCCTAGGCCCACAGGCTGAGGAGGGAGCAGCTCAGTCCACGTCTCCCTTAGATGCCTCAGGGATCTGGCTGGATTCCCAGGCTGCTGCCAGCTGACACCGTGGCACCTCCCGGAACCGGAAGTGAGCTCTGTGTGGGATGTGGCTGGGCTAGGGGGTGTTCCGCTGCTTGCTCACTCTTTTTTTTTTTTTTTTAAGATTTAAGGGAAATGTGGACTTTTATCATCTTATGAACTGAAAATGTGTTGAAACATTCTATAATATAGATCGAATGTAGCTGAGATCATTGACAGATGATTAATTCATGTGTGAGATGGAGTACGTGGGAGAGCTCTTGTGACTGTCATTTTCCACGGCATGTCTTACAGACAGAGTTCCCACAGACACCTTTCTGTTTCCTCAGACTTCAGTGCAGGATCCAGAAAAGTTAAATTGAATTCTGAGAGGGAACAGAGAGCATAGCATCGAAGATGGGACAGAGGAAAACTGGAGGGTTTCAAAGCGTTTGTTGCAGTGTGTTTCTTGGGTTATAGTAAAATGATTTGCTTTTACATAAAGCCAAAATATAAATAGCTGTGTAGACGGGTCACTCAGCAATAGACTTGCATTACATGTATGAACCTTTGAGTTTTATCTCTCCAATAAGGAGGAGACTCAGTCAAAATTATGTGTTCTAGGAATCCCAGGACTTGAGAAACAGAAGTTGTCAGGTGTCTGTGGTTTGCTGATCACCCAACTGAAATAACGAGGTGAATTCCTTTTACTGAAAACAGTGACTCAGGTAAGTCCAGAGTTAGCAGTAATTTGTAGTGATGCAGTATTTTTGTTCTTGCTATATTTGCTTTCCAGGATAATGTATAAACCGGTCTACTGCTTTTGTCTTGTATGGCTCAAATAACAAACCAGCATGATTTCAATACATTTCAAATTTAGGAACAAATGAGTTATTGTGTTTCCTTAAGAATAGAGCTGAAGTATTACTTAAATGTGTATTGGTGTTCCTCCATCCCAGCATGCCACACCTAGAAAGTGTTTACCTAAAAGAACCGAAGAAAAAAAAAAAAAAAAAAAAAAAAAAAAAAACCATAGCTGCATAAATGTACACACTGCTACAGCTAACCAAGGCACATACACATATCTATATATGTCCTACCCGAGGACACCCCTCCTGCAAATGACAGCAGAAATTCCTAAAGCAGGTAGTATCAGCTCAATACTCTTCTGAATTTTGTGCCATATCTTTTTTGTATAATATATATGTAATAATATATAATATCCTATATTATATATATATGAATTTAATAATATATGTAAATTTTAACACCTTTTGGTGAAAATATTTCTTATAGACTTGAAATTGTAATATAATTATATAATCTCTTCTTCCCCTTAGATGTATCTCATCCTGTATATTCACCATTGCTCACTTTTAAAGTCATGGTCACATTTTTTATTAATTATTGTTACAAGCATAAAAGTTTATGTGTAAACATATATACTCCTAAATATATAAGTATAACTTGTAACATCATTAATATGTTAAAGATGTGTGTGATTTCATGGCTGACCATTTGATATTGAATATGCAGTACGTGAACTATTCTCATTCTCACAAAATTATTTAATTACTTGTATTTCCATGGGAGGGGTTAAGACCTCATTGGATTTTCTAATATTTCAAATGATTTTTACACTTTTAGCATTTTGACTCTTTTCTGGGCAGGGGCACCACTAAGCTCCCAAGTAAGTAACACAGTGTAGGTAGCTTATTCTTTCTTATGAGTGCACAGTGTTATTTGGTTATTTCTAGCCAGCTTTTCTTAACTTAAATTAATCCATCTACCTTTTCCTTCTGGGCTTTGCTCTTTCTTAATTCAGCATATTTTAATTTTCTGCTTCTCTGGCTGTCTGTGTGGGTAGGTGACTGACTCCTGATGTTCCCCTCTTTTTCTTCTCTTACTGTACCTCCTTTTCTACTCCTTTCCCCTCTTTATAATCTCTGTTGGCAGTATCATTCCTCTACTGCTGGTGGGAGTGCCAACTCATACAGCTACTTTAGAAATCAGCATGGTGTTTCCTCAGGAAAATGGGAATCAATCTAACACAAGATCCAGCAATTCCACTCTTAGAAATATACCTAAAAGTTGTACATTCATACAACAAGGACATCTGTTCAACCATGCTCATAACATCATTATTTGTAATAGCCAGAACCTAGAAGCAACCTAAATGCCCCTCAACTGAAGAATGGATACAGAAAGTGTTGTACATTTACACAATGGAGTACTACTCAGTGGGAAAAAAAAACAATGGAATCTTGAAATTTGCAGGCATATGGATAGAACTAGAAGAAAAGTTTCTGAATTAATTAACCCAGTAACAAAAAGACAAACATGGTATGGACTCTCTCTTATATGGATTTTAGACATAAAGCAAAGGCTTACCAGTACAGTCCACACTGCCAGAGATGCTAGGAAACAAGGAGGACACTAAGGGAGACATACATGGTCCCCTGGAGAAGGAGAAAGTGACAAGATCTCATAAGCGAATGGGGAACATGGGAAAAGGGAGAGAGAGTTAGAAGAAAGTGAAGGGGAGAAGAAGACAGGAGAGGAAGGCATGATGGAACAGAAAGATCTATTCAGGGGAAGAATAGAGGAGAGCAAAAAAAGAGATGCCATCATAGAGGGAGCCATTATAGGTTTAAAGAGAATTCTGGCACTAGGGAAATGTCCAGAGATCTAGAAGGTTGGCCCCAACTAACAATCTGAGCAATAGTGGAGAGGCTACCTTAAATGCCTTTCCCTGTTAATGACTTTGATGACTACCCTAAATGCCATCCTAATGCCTTCATCCAGCTTGATGGAAGCAGAAGCAGACACCCACAGATACACAATAAGCTGAACTCCTGGAATCCACTTGCCAAGAGGGAGGAGTGATGAGCAAAACTGTCAAGACCAGGTTGGAGACCCACAGACACAGTTGACTTGAACAAGGCAGAGCTCATTTACCCCAGACTTATAACTGGGAAACAAGCATAGGAATGATCCAACCCCCCTTTTTTAATATTTAGAAATTTGTGTTGATTTGTTCTTTGAAATTTGGATATATTTATATAGTGGAATTTGTTATATCCACTATTATTCTTTCCTGTAATTTCTGTATCAGTCCCCTTCCCAAATTAATGCCTTCCTTTTCATTTAATTGTTTATTATCCATAAAATTCAATTAATACAATTATTGCTGCTCATATGTGCATGGCCTTGTGAAGATTACATCATCTGCCACCAGCCACACATTAGTAAGAAAGTAAAAAAAAATAAGGAACAAATGAGTGGTGCAAAGAAATATTAAGCACAGTGGTCCAGTTAGGCTCCTTTGGTCCTGAGTTTGAAGAAGATACTGTAAATCCCAAGAGATCACTATTATTCTGTAACTGAGTGCTCATTTATTCATATTTCTTCATGGACTGTTAGGTGAGAGAATCTCAGTGGCACTGTTTACATGTTGGTTCTTTTTGTCCTGTAGAATTTGGTTCATAGGCACAATTGCACCATGAGGATATCTAGATGGATCACAATGATAATATGGGAAAAAACAGAAGCCTCAGTGGTGAGTTCACTGTGCAATTTTAATGATAAAGTTGAGTTTATATTCAAATGAATATGCAACATGAAAATGTAAGCTCTCATCATTGCATATATTAATAATTTCAATAGTAACTCTCCTTATGAATAATAGGTGATATAAAAGTGTTACATTTTTAAATTATATTTAATCATTCTTCTGTAAGTTCTCACAAACTTTGGTAATTGAATATTCATGAGGGTTTTTTTCTGATAAATGGGATCACATAGACAAACATAGTTGATTTCCCTAATAATAGAGTCCACATTTGGATCTTTCAGTTTTGAATGGTATGTTGACCATAAATCCTCTGACTATCCTTTTTTCATCCATGTAAATATTTATAAATATTCCATTGGCCACTTCCAGGCATTATTTTCTCATTATACAAGTAACAAGCCTGTGATAGATGTTAATAAAATTTCTGTGGAAGTGTGTGGAGCTTTCATAAGAAAATCCTGCTTTACAGACCCATTATATCAGTGGATGACACTGTATACTTTTGACCACTCAAGTAGTAATATAAAAGTTGTTTTATATTTACTTATGTGTATACAATTTTGTAAGAATTTAAGAAAATTTATGATGTAAGAAATACTTATATTTATAATTTGTCCCTAGATATGTTTAAAGTACTGTCAATTGATACACATGATTGATTTTGACAAAATGTTCATTATTAGAAAATACATCATTTTTTGTACATATGAGATATATTTACATATCCCTATATGCTTGGTTTGTTCTGCCCTCACAACACATAAAAATAGATATTATTTTATGTCTGTAACATAGCAGAATTCTAGAAGGAAGTGAATTCTAATCACTTTATTTTTATTAATATGTCTATCATCTGCTGATCTCACATGTGTTCTATTTTTATTAATATGTCTTCCCATGTACATGGAAAAAATTGTGCCATTTCTTCATTGAGAAAGACTTTTTTTCAACTGACATAGATTCTTCCTTCAAGTAGTCAGGAGGTAACTGTCTCTAATTATTAACAATAGTTTGCAATTATTATGTGATAATGGTTTATGGGCCCATCAAATGTTCACTGTGGCTATGTTTTCTGCTATAACACAGACACTAGAATTATATCACACAGTGTACTGCCAAATTCAATAGCAGGAATTGTCACAGTATTGACTGATTGGAAAACCAAAGGCCAACCCAAGTGTGTACCATTTGAAGGAGTTAATATTACAAAGTATGATATACATGTGTGCTGGATAATCTTATGTCAGCTTGACACAAGTTAAAGTCACCTGAGAGTAGGGAACCTCAATTAAATTAATGTCCACATAAAATTGGCTTATATGCAGGTTTGAAAGGCACTATCTTATTTAGTGATTAATAGGGATTTTCTAGACCATTATTACTGGTATAGTTCCTGGATATTTTCTCTTGTGTTCTGTAAGAAATCAGGCTGAGCAAGCCATCAGGAACAATCCAGTAAGTAACACCTAGCAATGGTTTCTCCATCAGTCCTTGCCTCTGGATTACTTCCCTGTTTCAGTTCATTCCCTTATACCCTCAATGGGTTAGTTAGTATGAGGAACTGTAAGATGAATTAACCCCTTTTCTCTACAACTTCCTTTTGGTCATGATATTTGTTTGTAGCAATAGAAACCCTAACTCTTATACCATGGGTAAGAAAATCCTAGTGTAAAAGCAGGAAATAATATAGGAGAAAATATATCAAATATTTGAAATAAGCAAAGTCCTCCAATAACCTGTAAATGTACACTGAGTACCATGGTACCTGCACAGCCAGAACTCTTACTTTAGTTTTAATAATTAATGTGTGTTTTCACCATGTTTATATATTCATTTAGAAATTTATTCCTGTGTCAACAGACTGAATGGAGATAGACAGCTGGTGTGAACCACATTCATTACTTCTGAGGTCCTGACAGTCTATTTCTAGGGCATTTGATTTTGGACACACAGAGCTTCTTAGGCTTTCTCAACCCTATTAGCTTATAATCTACTACTGTAATATGAATAACCAAGTTCAAAAGCCACTTTAACTCATGGATGTTATCCTGCTTGCATGATTATAATTGGCAATAATTTACATTATATCGCTATTTGATTTGTCTAATTGTGTTACAAATCAGAATGATAAACAATGTGTTTTGATCCATAAACACAATAACTCTCATAAACAGCCCATGTGAAATTTAATTTTTGTCAACTTGAAACAACTTTGTCATATTTAGGAAGTGTGAAACTCAATTGATGAATTGTCTCCATCCTACTCTGCTGTCATCATATTGTACTGTCCTGAATTTGGTTGGTTAAAGTTTGAAGTCAGAAGCCCATTGTGGGAAATCTCACTCCTGGGGAAGTCTTCGAAGTTTCTATAAGAAATCAAGATAAATGAGCCATGGTGAATAAGCCAGTAAGCATCATTACTTCACAGCCCCTGATTGAGTTTTCGACTTTTCAGATATGTCATAGGTTGCTTTCCTGATTCCCATTAATGAAGCACTATAAGATGTAAAGTGAAGTAATCTATTAATTTCCAGAGTTTCTTTGGTCATGCTATTTATCACAGAAATAGAGCCAAATGTAGAACAGACTAATATTCAGCAGTAGAAAATGCTACAACAATCTCAAGTAGATGTAAACAGAAGGAAATCATTTCACAAAGAAAATGAGACAAATTTGCTAACACAGAGTTTTAGTGTAAATGAGGACAGACACAAGAATCTACAGACATGATAACACAAGTACAAAGGACAAAGTGCTAAGTGCTCAGTCCCCACACATGACACTGTGACAAGAGATAACATTTAACACAATCTGTTAAACACACCACCCATGAAAATGCTTCACAGGAGCTCTCTGTTCCTCAAAAATATGAAAAAGAACTCTTTCAGTCATTCCTTGGAGATCATGGTGTGAGTGAAAACCTACTGCTGTGTCACACACTCATCTGAAAACCAAGGTGTCCAATGGATGAATGAGTTAAGTACTTTTGATAGAGCTATTTTGTATAATCATCTGTACTGAATTAATATCTCATTTTTATTATCATTCCTGGGTGACTGAAACAGAGTCAAGATGGAAGAAATCAGATTAACAATTATTTGGTATTAACAATTAATCTCATAGGGAGTTGGTATGGGTTACACTCATTGTTAATAAAAAATGACTTGGCCATTAGCAGGGCAAGCAGATATAGGGCAAGTCAGCCTAATGCAGAGAGAAAAAGGGGAGGAGAATGGGCAGAGTCAAGAGTCACAGGGAGGACTGCAAACCGGACATGGAGAAAGTGAGGTAACAAGCCATGGCCATGTGGCAAAGTATACATAGAAATATAGGATAATTTAAATATCAGAGTTAGCTAGTAACACGCCTGAGATACCTTATGAGCATTTATAATTAATATAAGCCTCAGTGTGTTTGAGTGTGGCTATGTGACAGGAAAACTTAGGTCTACATGTTTCCCATCATGGTGTGTGTACCCACATAAGACCTGAGAAAGCTTTAAAAAGGATTTAAACATACAGAAACAGATCCACACTGGAATTACTAGTTTCTCATGCCAGGCATGGTGCGCAGATGCATTTCTGGACAACTGCCTGGGAGATGGAGCTGACTGCCAAATGCCAAGAGCTAAGCAATGTGGCCAGTTTCAGGTATCTTTCACATAGGGTGCATTACAGAGAGACTTTGCTTAACCACTGAATGGAGACTTGATCTTTGAGCAACAGTTGGCTACATGACACACGTGAGCTTTTGCTCATGGTGACAGAAAAGGTTACAGAAACACAGTAAGAACAGATTCAGAAGGGAAAAAAAACTAAATGGGTTACAATGCACTTAAAAAATATCTATAGTCTGGGCGAGAGAAGAGAAGAGTATGTAAAAACAGTTTTAGAATAAAATAGTAAAGTCATTTAAAAAGAAATAGAGTAGTAAAATATAATGAGTCATGCAAAGATAGAAAATACGTAGAGAGTCTAGATTCTGATATGTTATTATAATGTCTTTAAATGTTTGGCTATTATAAGAGTTGGATTATGGAAACGGCTAGATTAAACCAACCTATATATTTTGAGAATGTCTTAACTCAAAATTTAAGTCAAAATGTATAATGCATTGGAGGGTGTTTTTGTTTCCACATTTAATGAGAGATTGTGGATTTTTTGCAGATTGAAAAAAATCAGGGTTGATCAAGGAAAATCCCCTGCAACACCCCTGATGGTAGTGGATGGTTCAAATGATTCAACAACTCAGAGAGCATGTGTTTCAGTTTCCTCTGAGTTATACATGCAGAATAACTTCAAGCTAGTGAGGTAAGAGCATCTAATCCCACAGACTAATCTACCCATGACGTGACAGTTATCCTAGATTTTTTCAATGTCCATCAAAGATAACAGCAACCACAAAACAATATAAATTAGTCTGGAGAATGATGTCCATATCCCCCCAAATAAATTATGAATATTTGTCATTGTTTAGGGGGTTTCATGACAAAATGTTATTGGTCATAGTCAGGAAAAAAGCTAAACAAGGAGTTAAATATAAATGGAATTTTATATTTATCCCAGGTCTATCCCAGAAGCCACTTCCACGTTACCACACAGATACTAATTGTAACTGCTTGGCTAATAGCTCAGACTTATTTCTAAGTCTTAACCCCTATTCCTTATTTATGATCTTGTCATGTGAGGATACCTTTATTAGCATGGCATGTTCGTCTCTCCTCCCTCTGCATCTGGCTGTAATCTTCAAACTCCAGGCTTGTTCCTCCTGACATTCTCAGTTTGCCATTCTCACCTAATTGTATCATGTTCAGCTATTTGGCCCTAAACTTGTTCATTAAAGCAAACACTACATCAAATCTTCACAGTGTATAAAACATATTATTCTAAAACAGCTAAATTGCAAGATCTCTTTCTAAATGAAAAAATGTTGATAGGAAATAAAAACAATATTATAAAATGTTAGATTATTGAATATAGGTTTATCATAAAACAACTGTTAATTTCAAAATACTTTTAAATTATAATGGATTTTAGTTTATTGACACAAACTTAAAGTTATTTTTGTTAGGCTATATATGTGTTTGTACTCTTGTTTGGTATATTGTGCTTAAGCAGCTCATTTAAAAGACAATGTATAGTTAAAAAGTACAAGTTAGTATGTTGTTATCTTAATAGTTAAACTTGTAGTCACATTAGCTATGTTGTCAAAGTCAAACTGCTATATTTAGATAGACAGAGGTTTTCAAACACTCCAAAGAGCTACAGAATATGGCATTTTTTAATATGTCCATAACATAAGGGGTTTTGTGACAGTAAGACTTACCTTCTCCTGGCAGCATCAATCTTCTTCAGAGAAGATGATAGACATTGATGAAATCCCACATTGTATTTGTTTTTTTTATTAAAAAGCTTGCCATGTGAGCAAAGAAACTGCTCTTGCCTCAATTGCTGAAAATATAACTGTCCAAATCAGACCAGCAGGACATAAAAATGGCGAAGGCCAGATATTGCCAATCAATATAGGACAGTCCTTCAGAATTCCCTGCTTCCTATAGAAGTGTATCAGATATTTTAGGCCTTTAGGGCAAAGTTGAATGCCCCAAGATTACAGAGGAACTTTGGGTTACTGTCCAGACAACCTGATATCCCTGTTATTGGGGAATATTATGTCCTTCTGGGGTTTTTGATGGAGTTGAAGACTAAATAGTGATAATTTTAGTTAATTCTTTAGCTATAACAGAAAGTAAATTATGCACATAATTTTAGACTCACCAATATAGATAAGTATTTTCTCTAATTTCACCAAATACAAATGGATTGGCATTGTTACTATAATTCTTACTTAATAAATTTTGTGTATAATTTACAATTGTAATGTTAAAATCTCACTTTCAAATTAGAGAAAATGGGGAAAAGCTGTGGATAATGCCCATTGTTAATAAAAAATGATTGTGTGATAGCCAGGAAAGAAGTGTTTGGGTGGGACATGAGTGAATTAAGGGAGGAGAAAGGGAAGAGTCTATGAGACTTGCAGGGATATCAGACAACTGCCAAGAAAGAAGGAAATGTAGAAAATAAGATAGGAAGTCATGAGCCATTTGAAAAATCACAAGTAGAAATATGGGTTAATCTAAACATAAGAATTAGCTACTAAAAAGACTGAGTTATTGGCAGAGCACTTATAATTAATTATAATAAGCCTTGGTGTGTTTATTTGAGAGTGGCTATAGTACAGGAAAACTTATATACACAGGCAGCTCAAGATAAAATTTCTCATGTATCCAGTGTGGTATGGAGCATTTCTAATATTTCTTTTCTTATTAATCCTAAAATCTTTAGAAAGATTACAATATTTCTAATAAGTGAAGTGCTTCATGACTTTTCAAATTTCTTTTCAATTTCACTTCCCATAAATTTTTATGTATTTGTTAATATCTAACTGTGGACTTCACAGAAAATATTATATAGTTAGTGATCTCATTCAACCATGTGGGTTCTAATATTCAAATCAAGTCATCAGGCTTCACACAAGGCACCTTTTATCCTGTATTTCATGTGGGTGGTGACATACAGTCCTTTTTTCAAATGTATATGTGTGTGTTCATTTATGAGCAACAGTAGTAAGGTGAGTTTTTAGTATTGATACTGTGAATGTGTTTGCCTTAGATTCATATTATATGAAACATTTTAAATTAATAATAGCACTTTTGTACATAGAAAGGAAGATGGTACAATCATTACAATTAATTCATTGTTAATGTTTCATTTAAAATTTGGATCAAGAGTATAAGTTTTAATGATACACAAATCCAATTAATTCTAATGTTACTTTTGTAGGAATATTATGTGAAATTATTTATTTAAAAAGAAGTGTGCACTTTGCAACAAGCATATTAAAGAAAGAAAATCCTTTCCACAATAATAGGCTAAGTCTGGTCAGAGTACTAGGGCAATCTTAAGTCTTAATTTAAATTAACATACCCAGAATTTAAGGAACATTCATGAAATTTCTATTATGCTAGCACTTCTGTATATTTGTCCCGTTTTAGTAAGTAGCCCTTGCTTCTTCTGGTGTTCACCTTTAACCACAAACTTGCAATAAGGCTGAGGAGAGGCTGGTAATTTAAACCCCTACTGACACAGAAGAATCAAAGCAATTGTATCCTGAGAGATACATGGACCTTTCCAAAAGTTGACATTTCCTGCCCAATATACAGGACATTCCTTCATACACTGTGTAAAACATTGTGTCTTTGTTGTGTGTCATTTATATGAAATAAGGGCTCACACTACCTCACATAATTAGGCAATGCACATTACCTATATTCACCAAATAAAAGTGTTAAATATGTTCAATAACATAAGTATCAGTTGGGATTCTCTAGAGAAAAATAATTGTAGAATGAAAATATTCAACGATGGAGAAGTAAGTATTGTATTGAATGCTACTGTCGATGTAATAGGAGTCTGCATGAGGCAGCTGATTACATTGTGTCTGTAATCGGGAAACAGAAAGCAATAAATCCTGGTGCAGAGCTTGTACATTCCCATACTTCCTCTCTCATTTATTTAACATGGTATTAATTGGTCACAATTTGTATTAATACATTTAGTGAATATTGTATATCATTATCATTATCATGTCCACCTATAGTACCTCTCCAAATAACTTTTGGTATTGATGAGGAACTAAATGTTTCACACACTGGCAAGCACTCTTCCACCAATATCTATCTGCAAACCCTCCCTTCCCAGTAATTGAGAACTATCTTATATTACTCCTGTTAACTTCAAGTTCACAGTATTTAGTTATTTTAAATGCATGGAGTTCATACATGAATTTTGGAATATTCACTGGAGCTTTGGCAACCTACTGCCAGGGAACAATCATACAAAGAAAAGAAACTTATTCTCTACAAACATGGATTTCAAATATTGTCTCAGCTTGTAATGGGTCCTCAATATACCCCTCCCTTTATATGCTGAAAATTTGCAGGTATTATACAGGTAACCACTGTAGTGCTAAGTGCATCTTTGCAAAAGTCATGTCACACCTAAAAAACAATAATCTCGGGAATCATTACCATTCCCACAATCTGAGTTCTTTCCCTTGTGTTCCTGTTCCTGGTCATACATTCATTCATGACCCTTTACTGCATTGATATAGACTTTATCAGTGGAAGAAGAGCTTATCAATATACAAGACAAGTAAAGGAGAATTGATCTTCTTATTCCAAGGAGAAGTTTCTAGGATACATGTATAGAATGCCCAGAGATAGGTATCTAAAAAGGGCCAATAAGGGAAATGGGAGAAGGCAAGGACCCTAAAACATCCAACCGAAGTTTCAATTATTGGAACTGTAGATTTCAATCCATTTCCAATTCAAAAAAAATTCTTAAATCTTTTAATTTGGCTGTCTTCAAGGCTCATCCCCTGTACTTCTCAGGATGTTATACTAGATGTCTACAAGTCACAAAGTTCCATTTCCTAGGAGCTCTCATCTGGGAATTGAGAAGACTTATTTTCAAGTTCATATACCAGGCTACAAATCTTGGAGAAAGACTTTGATATGACAAGGACTATCAGAAGATCTTAATGCCACTTTTGAGTGAAGGAACCATCCTCCATGACTCCTAGAGTTGGAACATCCAGTAACACCAAACCAACAAAGGATTAAGAAGAGTAGGTGACTAGGCTCATATGGAGTTGTGGTATTGATCTCATGTTGTAGGCAGAAGTTTCTCTCCCACAGGCCACTCCAAAATGACTGACACAGAGACTGAATATTGCTCATAAACGCTTGGTCACAAGCACAGAATTGGTGCTAGCAAACTCTTCCATTAAATTTAACCCATATTTTGTATCCATGCTTTGCCACATTGCTCTGCACTTGCTCTCAGTACAGCATATCTTTTTGGCTTTTCCCTGTACCTGCTGCTAACTCGAAACACTGTCCTTCCTCTTCCCAGGATTCTCTCAGTGTCAGGCTGTCTTGCCCAATATCTTCCTGCCCAGCTGTAAGCAATCAGCTTTTTATTAGCAATGAGAGGAATATATTTTATAGTGTACAAAGTTTGTTTCAAAGCATCATTCAATAAGGTGGATATATCTAATACAGAATCCAACATGGAAGGTTAAGCCACCGATGGTAATCACAGAAAGAGTGGGAATTGATCCTCACAGAACAAATTGATTTCCAGGATTGGGTGACAGAGGGCATCTTGCTTGCTCCATAAACCTAAGAAAGGTTCATGACAAAGCACTTCCCTCTGCTCAATTCCTTACTTATTCCATAGCAGGCTATTGGGCCGATAAGCAATGTTTAAGCACCTGGGTGTATGCTATTTTTGGAAACTGAAAGCTTTCTCTGATTTCTGTTTCTTGAGCTTGTCTCAAATGCAAACAAAATCTGTGAGGATTTTGTAGTATTCACCTGTACTATAAAGGAAATTATATCATATTTGTTTTAAATTCAGCGTAAGAGTCCAGAATTCAAACAGAGGCATCTATGGATGAGTTGGGCTGAAACGCCCTCTCAGTGTTTAGGAAAGCTTTGTTGGGGACTTTAAACCCTGAGGGGATTTAACCATTGCCCCATCAATCGATGACTACTGCATGTTAGCCCTTAGAGTTCTCAAAAAGAGGGGCACAAATTGACTGCTTCAAAGCTTTAACAGCAAATCCTAATTCAAAAGTGGGAAGCTGTATCTTCAACAGCCTCAGAATTCCATATGGGAGGTAGTGCATACACACTCTGGAAGCAGAATGGTATAGCAGGAATAGTGTCTGCTTGACTGGGCCATCTGGCAGATAGCAATCTCTTGTTGTAGATACCTCCCCACACATATGCCCCTTCTTCAGTCATGCTTCTCCATTCCCTATGCCTGTCAAATGTTCTGTTGTCTTTGCAAAAGACACTGAACTGAGCAAAGCCTTAAAATGATAGAGCACAAGGAATAAATTTTGCAATTCTCTGAGGTCAGGAACTAGATAAATTGCTACCTGTAACAGCTAGAAGCAAGCTTCATTCTGGTGGGAGGTGGCAGATGCACTTGCCAGTGGGTGATAAAGCCTGCTCCTTCTTGCCACCAGCTCATAGATCATATTTCTTTCTAATGGGAAGGAAACTCTCTCTCTCTCTCTCTCTCTCTCTCTCTCTCTCTCTCT